ATCAGTTGCTGGATAAAGCATATCAAGTTTGGTAAGGTCAGAGAAAAAGAGGAAGACACCCCCCAGCAAGATGGATTGGCAAAGTGGCAGCAACAATGGGCTCAAGTGTGGTGGCAATTATGATGTTGACCCAGGACCAGGCAGTGTTTCATTCTATTGTGCAGAGGGTCGCTTGTAGTTGGTACCTACTCAATGGCACTTAACAAAAACAAGAGTTTTCAAGTACTGTGATATGATACTGCTGCAGCTGCTCAGCAACATATCAATATTTTCAAAAATTTATATTGAGTTTTTTTAAAAAAACATAGGCCAAAGGCTACATTTCCTGCAAAATGACATCTAATAGAGAATTTTAAGCTATCTTAAGTATAGGTAAAAAAGATAAATATACATATAATAATTGCTTATAAAATAATACTCATTTGAGAAACAAGATCATTAAACTCTAAAAACATTGGGTACTTGTTACCAAATATTTCAAAAATTTTAAATCATACTTTGCCTCATGTAATTATTGCTATATCTGTGTTGTTGAATTTTTTTTTTTTAATCTTGTCACTCACTTGCACACCAAGCTCACTTCTAGAGAGTCTATTCTGGAGAGTCTATAGGACAAAGTAGAAGTGCCCCATAGAGTTTCCTAGGTTGTATGTTGTTGTTGTTAAGTGCTGCTGAGTCTATGCCTACCCATAGAGACCCTGAATAGGGTTTCCAAGGAGCAGCTGGTGAGCTTGAACTGCTGACCTTGCAGTTCAAACAGCTTTGCAGTCTGGTGCATTAACCCACAGCCCCATGCCAGAACTCCCCTAGGTTATTTATCTTTATAGAAACAGACAAGTCTCATCTTTCTCCTGTGGAGCAACTGGTAATTTCCACCCCCTGACCTTTCTGTTAGCAATCCAATATCACTTAACCCATTGGGTCACACACCCACCTGAATCAAGTGGATTAGGACTTATATTGACCTGTATGGCACTGTGTGTTAAGATGTGGGACTGCTAGGGCGGTTTGATATGCAAGGTGGGTGGTTCAAACTCAAAAGCCGCTCCTCAGAAACCCTATAAAGGGTCTCTATGAGGCAGAAATGACTCAACAGCACTTTACAACAACAACAACAAAGACAGAATAGAACAACTCCACAGAATATTCAAGGCTGTAAATCTTTACGGGAGCAGACAGCCTCATCTTTCTCCTATAGAGCAGCTACTGGGGTTGAAGCGCCAACTTTTTTGGCTAACTGGCCACTGTGCTACCAGAACTCCTTAAAGCATGCCATAGATCATCTTTTGTCTCTAAATCTTGCCAGTCATATTAAAACAAAATAAAACTGTTATTGAGCCCAGGTGAACTGTAAATCAAGCTGTTGTTGTTGTTGTTGTTGTTTTTTTGTTGTTGTTGTTAAGTGCCATTGAGTCGGTTCTGACCCATAGCGACTCTGTACAGAGTTTCCGACGGTGTAAATCTTTACCGGAGTAGAAAGCCTCATCTTTTTCCCGCGGAGCGGCTGGTAGTTTCAAACCGCTGACCTTAAGGTTCACAGCCCGATTCGTAACCACTACGCTACCAGATTATAAGGTAGAATTTTAGATTCCCAATGTATTTGCTACTGGTTCCAGCAGATGCCAGGGAGGTGCTATTATACTCATAGTGACTCCATGTGATAGAGAAGAATGGCACTATAGGTTTCTCTTGGCTGTAATCTTTACAGGAGCAGATCACCATGAAGCTGCTGGGAAAATGGTGGTGCATAACCATTGTGCCAGGAAGATTTCACCCCAGGGACACAGGAGGGCTTTAATCTGATTGACTTTGGAAGGAGAGAGGGCAGTTCCTTGTTTTCCCTTCTCTTTTGGAAGCTTGTGGACTCCATGTATGCCACTATAGGATAAACACTAGACTGCGAATTACAAGGTCAGAAGCTCAAACCCACCAGCTGCTCCTTGGAGACCCCATACAGGGTTGCTATGATTCAGAATCAAGTGGACAACACTTAACAACTGTTGCCTTTGTGCAAGCTCCTACTCTGATCTTTTTCTTCAGGTAGTTAAGGCACATCCAGGAATGTTCTACCTCTGCTGCAGACAGTTCTGACTGTGACTGGCAGTGACTAAGAGGAGTACATTTGCCTGTAGGCATGTGTCACTTTCTTCTCTATTAGTTTTATAAGTAGCAAGAGTACAATTTTGGTTTCTCACATGCCTTATTTTGTGTCAGCTGGTTCAGAACCTAGGTGGGGAAATGGGTATTTTTATTGAACTGTTTCAAATTTCAAATGAATAAATATGAAGGAATTCAAAATGCTTGTGGGGAAAATGGAATTAGAAGATAATAGAATTTGTCCATCAATTTTTTGAAGTTTTTTGTACACTTTATTCCTTTTATCCACTGCAGTCCTCCAAGATGGAGAGTTCTCCCCCACCCACAGACAAGAGGTGCATAAGATACAGACATTAGACATGATCCTAATCTTCAAAGGAAGTCAGATTTATTAAACTGCCCCACAGAAAGCAAAATAATCAGTATTTTTTTTTCCAAGGATAGTTTTCAATTTCTATCTATGTATAAATAGAAGACAGCTTCAAAAATTTTGTGGAAAAATTCTATTATCTGTTCATTTTATTTTTCCACAAACTTTTTAAAGCCTCTTCACATATGTGTTTATATGGATGTATGTGTAAATATATAAGTAAATATATTTAACAAATATTATATATATATGAATAAGTTCTGACTCATATTGGTCTTGTATAGGGTTTCTGAGCAGCAGCTGGTAAGTTTTGAACTACCAACCTCATTGTTCAAACCAATCTTGCGGTCTAGTGCTTACCCTACAGTGCCACATATGTATAGTTATATAATTATGTTCAAAGAATCCTTACCTTCTGTTTTTCTATAACATCAAAAAAAAAAAAGAGCAAAAATTTAAACAAAAATTACACACACTGATTTCTACAATTTTCTGTAATTAGACAGTTTGTAAGACTTGCTCTAATAGCCAAGCAACTTTTATTGTGAGACTGCTCTTCCATGGCAGTATGTAAAATATGCCCTACTAGTCATGCAAATGCATAGGAAAGCAGTAATATATTTGCAAACATTTTAATAAATGGCACACCTGGGGCGGAGGGCATCATACCATGTTAGTTTTTTTATTTATATTGTCACTTCAAAGGACATAATATGTTTAAGATACTCACAAATCCTTTTGAAGAAAGCTGGAGTAAAACTCCATTCCCAAACGTACAGCTTTACTGAAATGTCAAATAACTGATTTTAATAAAGGACTTGGAGTTATTGATATAACCAAGAGGCCAGTAGTTCAAACTCACCAGCTGCTCCTCAGAAACCCTTTTCAGGGTCGCTATAAGGCGGAACTGACTCAAAGGCACTTAACAATTTGAAGGCCCTGGTTGGTGTAACTAGTTAATGCGCTCAGTTGCTAACCAGAAGATTGAAGTGAGTTTAAGAATGAGGTTGAGTCGACCTCTTCCAAGGTGCCTCTGGGTGGATGCAGACCTCCAGTCTTAGAGTAGCAGCAGAGCATGCTAACCATTTGCACCAAATAGGAACTCCTATACCAAATTTAAGGACCTTTGGTAGCGTAGTGGTTACAAATCAGGCTGTGAACCCCAAGGTCAGCAGTTCGAAACTACCAGCTGCTCTGTGGAAGAAAGAGGAGGCTTTCTGCTCCAGTAAAGATTTACCGCCTCGGAAACCCTGCTCAGGGTCGCTATGGGTCGGAACCGACTCGACGGCATTTAACAACAACAACAACAACAACAACGTACCAAATTTAAATCCCAAACCAGATCCACTGTCATCCAGTCAATTCTGACTATAGTGTCCCTGTAGGACACAGTAGAACCTTCCCCATAGAGTTTCCAAGGTGCCAAATCTTTACAGGGCCTCATCTTGCCCCTGCAGAGGAACTGGTGGGTCTGAAACCCAATATTTGGTTAACAGAACAACACTTCACCCACTGTATCACCAAAGTTCCTTGTAGAAAACTTACTACATAGGAAATTCCTACAATGACAATTGTGTTTTTTACTGGTCACAAGAATACCAAATTCAACTTTTATTTTTTAAGAGTAAGATTACACTTTTTTTTTCAATGTAAATTTCTGTTACCCGAAATGAAATTTCAGGGAATTTCTTGAAGAGCTATAACCTTTTGCTATAAGATAAGCAACATAGAACTTTAGGAACACTCCTTTGAAGATAATTTAAAATTCTTATTGTCTTAAACTAGTATACTATTACATACAAAAACACAGAACACAATTTGTTTGCAACAATCCATTCTAAAATAAAATAAAATAAAATAAAAAAACACCTTGTCATCCAGTTAATTCTGATTCATAATGACCCCATAGGACAGCATAGAAACACCCCTATTGAGTTTCCAAGACCATATATTTACACAAATACAATGACACATCCTTTTCCTGCAGAGCAGCTAGTTGGCTAGAATTGCTGACTTTTCAGTTAGCAATTGAGCACTGCCCAACCAGGGTTCCTCAGTTCATTCTAACAACCATTAAACTTGAGTTCTTAATTTTGTGCATAAAAATAAATTTTCCATTACTGAGTTTTGAGCTTTAGCACTTTAGATGAAACTAAGAGATATATTTTTAACCATATCATTTTAATTTCCATTACCAATATCAATTCATTTTTTCCCTTTTTAAAACTAGGTGGTATGAATCCTTATATTCTGATAAATTGTTTTCCTACACTCATCCAATTTGAGTAAGCATATGAACTTAAGGTTCATATCAAATATGTATTTATTAAAAAGAAAAGAATGTAACTGGATTTGGGTCTCTGTGATTTTGGAATAGGCACCAAATACTGACTGCTAACACTTATGAATATTTATCAGTTGCTGTTATTAAAAACACATTTTTTTTTCCTGCTAGAATCTTTGAGTAAACAGTTTCAAAATGTTACTCCATCTGTCAATGTTTTCTGAAAACAGTACAAACCTTCTTTTTTATCTTCTGGAGTAATCTTCACTTTTGTATCTGTTATATCTTTGAATGAGGCCAGAAAAAGAACGACATCTCCTTTCTCATTCTTTATAGGAACAATATCCAATAGGCACCAAAATGGAGACCCTGTAACAGTAATAAAAACACAAGTCAACTACTGTCTCTCTCTTTTTTTCTGTGACGATCTCAATCATTAGTTGCACCATTAATATAATTGTAACTCTTTTCTGTTATCCCAGAACTACTTCCAAAAATCTTATTTTAAATGTCAAATTTTAGATTCCATAAATATCTAGCCTATATGCAAATCTCCTCATTCCCAAAGGAAATGCCTTCTCTGAAAATATGAGAGTATTTTAAATGAAACACTATGCCGATATATTTCTGTTTATGCCATTTAAACTGTGTTTGTTAATGATGTTGATGCTGAAGCATTCCACTGTATCAATTTGCCCCATCTCAATCACTACTTCCTAAGTAAAGAGTTTTGTTTTGTGTGAGTTTGCTAGACATTTATTTATTGTTATTTTAGTGTTGCTGATTGGCTTCTTGCTCATAGCAACCCTGTATAGTGATTCCAAGGCTATAAATCTTTACAGGGGCAGAAAGCCTCACCTTTCTACTGAAGACACTTATTTAGTTAATTTAAAAACTGGTGATTGGGGGAAAAAATCATTGACTGCCCAATGAAGTGACTAAATTCAAAAGAATAAAAAATACCAAGATTTGAGGAGGACGCATATTCATTTCAACTCTTATGCACTGCTGCTGCTGCTGTTGTTGTTGTTGTTGTTGTTGTTATATGCCATGGAGTTGGTTCTGACTCATAGGGACCCTGCATAAGGGTTTCTGAGGCTATAAATCTTTACAGAAGCAGAAAGCCTCATCTTTCTCCTGCGGAACAGCTGGTAGTTTCAAACTGTTGACCATGAGATTAGCAGCCCAATTCATAACCACTACGCTTACCAGAGCTCCTTACGCATTGCTAGGAGGTTGCAAATAAGTACATCTACTTTAGAAACTGTTTGACAGTATGAAGATGCATTCACACAATGCAACACTGAATGAATAATGTACAGTTACTTGCTACCAAGTGGATGAATTTGCTAACAGTGTTGAACAAAATTAGCCAGACAAAAGTGAGTATAGTAAAAACTGAATTAATTTATATAACACACAAAAGCAAAATAAAACAAAACAAAACCCACAAAATTTCCCAGTGGTATGAGAAGTCAGGTTATTGGTTACCTGTGGACACACAGTTACTGGGAGGGGAAAGGTGGAGTGAGAGAGTTTCTGGAATACCAGCCATGTTAGGTTTCTTCACTGGAGTGTTCCAGTTTTAAAAGCTTATCAAATTCTGTACTTCCACTATTAGAATGCTTCAGTATTCATGTATATATATATATATTTCTAAAAATTATTTTTTAAAACCAATCATGAAATTGAATTCCATTTTTAATTAAAAGAACCATAAGAAATATTATCAATAGACTGAAGTTTAAAAATATAGTAGCCAATGGATTTTAACTTAAGAATTATATTTAGTTGCTGTCATTTTGGGGGTGAAAAAAATCCATGCATTTGATTTCCTATTGGTAGGCATCCCTGAACTATTTGAAAATAACGAGAGAACTGCTATAGCTGAAGAACTAAGCTATTAATCTACTGTTCTATACAGTCAAGCAAGGAGCTCTGGTAGCGTAGAGGTTACAAATTGGGCTGAAAACCTCAAGGTCAGCAGTTCGAAATTACCATCTGTTCCATGGGAGAAAGATGATGCTTTCTGGTCCCATAAAGATTTAAAGCCTCAGAAACCCTGTACAAGGGTCGCTATGAGTCGGAACCGACTCCACGGCACAGTAACAACATAACATACAGTCAAAATAACTCTTCATTTTCTTTTAAAGAAAAGCAAAACAAAATGTCAATACTGTGAATTTCTTACTTGGGAAGTAATTCCAAAGTCAGGGTGCAAAATGAAAAAATGAAGCAGAAATACCCTTTATTTTGTCTAGATTTTGAAAATATTATAATAGATGTCTCATAATTTCCAAGAAAATTGATGTGGCCACCCAGTTTTGGAATTTATTCTTTTTCATTTAATTAAGCACCAGATGAAACCATTGATTTGCAGTTTTAAAAAAACACAACATATTTCACTGTAGCTGCTGCTGTTATTTTTATTGAAAATTGTGATACACTTCACAGGCAACAGATGTGTGTATTAAGTACTTTTACTATGAGCCCTGGTATGGCACTGTAAGGTAAACACTACACTGCTAACCATAGGTCATCTGTTCAAATCTACCATCCCCTCTCTGAAACCCTGTACAGAGTGCTATGAGTCAGAACTGACTCGACAGCACCCAAAAACTATACTATATATGATATGCATAAAAAATTACCTGTTTTCTCAAATCTTTCTGATAGTGTCAGATCCATGAATGCCTTCATTTTCCTTTTCTTTTTCATTCATTTGTCTTAATATCTATGTTTTTGTTCTTTAAACGAAACCAAAGCAAACTCACTGCCATCAAGTCAATTACAACTCATATGTTCATTGTTGTTGTTGTTAAGTGTTGTCGAGTTAGTTCTGACTCATAGAGACCATGTATAGGGCTTCCAAGGCATGGCTGGTGAATTGGAATTGCTAACCTTGTGATGTAAACCGACACTGTGGTCCAGTGCTTTAAACCACAGCATTACACAAGGACTTCCATGTGTTCACTAGGGCATGGTAATCCCACTTCAATATGCTACCACCAGACTTCAGGAGACCTGAGAGTCTAAACAAGGCTAAAATACTAATCAGCCAAGTAGCCAGGGGTAGTTAATGAACTTCTCCGGAAGTTGGTTCTCTCAATCACATTCAGTTCAGCGATGAACAAATTAACTCCAGAAATATTGGGATGATAAACCATTTCTATGGTCTATGACTAAAGGAGAAACTTCATAAATGAGCTGCATGTCAGGTCAAACACTACTGTCTTTACCATTCCATACTGACTATTTAAAATGTTATCGATAGGTGGCCACTTCAAATCAGGAGTCTTTTTCACTAGTGTTGTAGCTATGGTGGGGAATGCTGAAGGGGCCAGCAGGCCAAACTACCCATCAGACCACAGAATAATAGTGTAAAATAATGGTGGCATTGGTATGAATCTGATATACAGGTTCACATTGTAAAGCATCTTTCTGTCAATCAACTTGCAAAAACATCCCCAATATCAGAACAGAGCTATTAATTTTCCTGAAAGTCCCTTTTATCTATGCACTCAGACAATCACCATTACTGTCTCCAGTGAGCCTGTGCACAGGAGTAACAAAGTAACCTGGAGCCAGAAAACAGCACAAATTGAGGCGAAAGCCAAGGAAATAGCTGCTGAGAAGGCAATATCCTTTCATCAGCTCTGATGCACTGCCATAATTTTGCATCATGTTCTGAAAGATCATTCTGTCTGTAAGTGACCATGGGATGTGATCTTTGACATTTTGTAACTTCAGTAAGATACTATTAATGTTGGTTCTTCTAAATTCAAGCTTTGTAATGATTTGTCATGAACTAAGCTGTTTGAACTACAAGGTTGGCAGTTCAAGCTCACCAGATGCTCCTTGGAAACCCTATACAGGGTTGTTACGGTTCAGAATCGACTCAGTGGCACTGCACAACAACAACAAGAAGCTGCTGTTTACTTTTCCATTACCTTTTGGGGGATTAAAAGAAAAATTAGGGAACCAGGGTAAGGGTCATATTAAGCCTGATTTCTTCCTTCCTTTCTCCCTCTATTCCTTCCTCTTCCAAATGGAATATGTATACATACAAACTGTTTCATACACATGCCTTTGGGTACTACAAAAGTTAGACACCAAAGTGCATACTCCTCCCTAAACGGATAAGAGCTACCAATCAGTCTCTATTTCCCCAAACTCTTCACACACTTACTCGTCCCTTTCCTATTTTCCTAACTCTTCAAAATGTCTCCCCCAAGTCTTCAAATATAGCTCTCTTCCATCTTGAATATTGCATAACTGCAATCATTCAGGATTGGACTCTCCATCTCTTACCCATGAGAAAAATGATGATCATGCAACTTCTTTAGATTAAGAGTAATTCAGCTACGGAAAAATAAACCCTCCTAAAGTTAAGGTGGGAAGCAGCAAGGCCCTCAACCTCAAATACAGAGAGTCTTAAAAGTATTCTTAAAAAATAGGGTTGGAGGGCAGAAATCTTATGTCATCAAATTTAACTGCTACTGTGTATAGCAGCAGTAATTACTATGTGGGGTCACTGACTGACAAAACAGACAAGGCTCTGCCAGGATTTGAGTTAATAGCACCTTGAATTCCCACATATAAATACAATTGATGGTGAAAAAACGAGGTTTATACCCTATATGGTAAGCCTTATTTTTGGAAATGAAGCAGTACTGACACAGAGCTTAAGTCGAGTGGAAAGTTCCATTATCTTCATTTTGGTACTTACTCTTTTTTTTCTGCCTGGGAAACAAGGGTATAGAAGAATCTGACTTGCTAATATATATAATTGAAAGATGAATTACATGATTTTCCATATATCACCAAAAATATTGTATTATATAGTAACTTGAAACAAATGATAGTTTAGTACAAGGTTAACTGTAAAGTAGAGAACCAGTGAGGATGAGAAAGACCCTAACTGAGCTAGATGGGCACAGTGAACTCAAAATTGTTGTTGTTATGTGCTGTGGAGTCGGTTCCGACTCATAGCGACCCTGTACAGGGTTTCTGAGGATGTAAATCTTTACGGGAGCAGAAAGCCTCATCTTTCTCCTGTGGTTCACAGCCCGATTTGTAACCACTACGCTACCAGAACTCAAAATTGTGGACTCAAATATGTTGCCAGTTGTTGGGATAATACAGGACCTAGCAACATTTCATAATCAACCTGATGACAGTTATTTATCTGTTTCTATGGGTTCAATGTTTGACAATTTAATATAAATAAAAATTGAGTTGTGAATTTTCCCACTTTATGGGAAATGACTTTTTTAATGACTGCGCCATCTGACAGAAATTAAGTCATATCCCTCAATGTCACACAACAGCACAAAGCAAGATATGGACATTTTACATACCTTAATTTT